GAGGAGGGCCGGGCTGAGCCTCCGGGCGAGCCCCTGATCCCTCCAAGGAAGGAACCCAAAGCAAAATGGCATCGGTGGTGTCGCAGTTCATTGCTTTGACGTGCTAAAGCTCCTCCCGCAGCCCGATTTCCCAGGCGGTTTGTGCCAGGAACCCGGGCATCAGCATCCCCCCCAGCAAGCGGGGTCACTCGCAGCCCGAGCGGGGAAGCTTTGTCTGGCCTGAGTGGCTGCCAGGCCAAGGCTCCACGGGACAGGGCTCCCCACACGGGTGCAGTCCTTATTACAGTGATGTTTCACCTCATATACACCACATGGTGAGTCATAAATAAAAATCATATTGGTCCCTTTCACTATGGGTTTTTTTTCCACTCTTACCCTTTCCAGTCTCTTCCCCATCCCACTCTGTAGAATTTCAATTTGCCTAATTACACATGTGAAATGATATCTGTTTTCCTAATCCTTTAACTTACTCTCTACACTCCATGCCACATCTTGGAAGCTAATGGGCTTGGAAGAAGCAAAGTTTCAGGGATGACAGCCTTTCCCCAGGAAGGATGTGTACTGAATGTGTTCATTTGCAGATTGAGCTCAGATGAAATGTGAGCTGCTGACTCTGGTAGCACATGCAGTAAAGGCAGGTACATGCCACCTCCCTGCTGCAGCCTTTTCCCAGTGCTTTGTGTCATGGTCAGAGGATGCCAATGTCACAATCGGAAGAGGGGTCTGGTACGATGGCAGCTACCCCTGACAGCCATGCAGGAAGGAAGCTGTAAATCGGCACTGAGTGAAACCTTGACGGACACCAGGGACAGACTGACGTAGGACACCCGTCACTGAACAACCTCCTTCCCAGAGCCACTCCACCTGCCAACACTAGCCTGACCCAGAAGATGCCAACTGAAATTCTACCCCTCAAGCAATGCAAGCTGAACCGAGACCCCTGTGGGCTGAAAGGTAGATGCATCCACAGGTGCAGATGAGACAGAAGTGTGCATTATCCCATCTCACAGCAACTCCACAAATAATTTGTCCCCATTGCATCTTGCAGACCAGGATGTGTATGCTGGCAGTTGACACAACTGGAAATCCTACAACATGTCCAAGAGGATCCCTGAAGGTCAAAGAGCAAGGCACACAGTAGAGAAGCTGTCCCCTTCTGATCTTTGTCATATTCAGCATTCTTTCTGTGAGACCATCTCTCATTGTAGCCCTGCTGCTTTTAGCTGCTGCTCCAGCAGGACAGAGGTCCCTCCAAGGTGGTGTAGCCAGGGGTTACCTTTGGGCCTCATACTGCTTTTGAGCAGAACTACAGAAGCAAGTGGCCACTGCTTTCAACCCTGGTGTTGAAATATCCTCACTACCTCAGTGATTATGACAGGGGCAAGTTTTCTGAAGGCCTGGAAAGCCCCCTATTCAGAAGCTCTGACACTCTGATGTGACAGCCGGCTGCAGTCCGGCAGCAAGGGTCAGACATGAGCACTGCAGCTGATTTTACAATCCACAGGAGTCACACCAGACCATTAGATCTAAGAACCAGTGGGCCTCAAAGCAACATGCTCTTGCTGCCAGGACTGGACTGAGACCTGGTCAAAAAAACAGATGCAAAAACACATTCAAAAGGAAAAGCAGAACAGGCACCACTGCAGCTATGGGCTTTCTGTCTCCACTCGCTGTCTGTGGTTTTAACTTTTCTTTCACTACAGATAAACATCAGCCAACACAGGTGTCACAGGCCCGTTAGGCAATGGGGAGGTAACCAGTTACCTCAGTGGGGGTGCCTTCTCAGCTATTCAAAACAACATGTGCTATGTGAGTACAGCCTGCCAGTGCACCTGGCACATCCCCTGCTCTGAGACCCTCCCCACCTATGGGAGTTCAAGATCCAGGAGTGAATTTAACTAGCAGGACAAAAAAAGGATGATCAAGATTAGCAGGTCTAGGAAGACCATGATAAAAGTGTGTGTTACCAGTGTGGTTTTTCTTGGAGAACTGTGAGAACTGGAATCATTCAGGCACACCACATCAGAGTGGTGGCAGGGAATCAGCTCACGCACCACTGAGATGTATTTGTCACTGGAGGAAAGTGCAGCAGCTGTCTAGTCATGTACAGTAGCAGTGTGTAACAGTTTTATGCTAAGAATGCCTGAATTAATTGGACCTTTGGGTAAGCTGGGGAAAGCAAAATGTAGTTACTAGAGCTGGAATTTATCCACCTTGAAAACATTCCAGGTTATTCCTGGAAAAAGTATTATGTGACCTTCCACAGTGAAATCCATTG